AAAAAAGAGGTATCGATCTAAAATTTGGTATGTATATCGAAGAGCGCAGGGACTATCACATATATTCCGTTTTTTTCGAATTTCGAAAAAAAATTTGGAAATTTTTTGAGTTTTTCTAAAAAAAAACAATTTTTTTGATTTTTGGGGGTCAAAATCCAAAAATTTCAAAAATCCGAGATAGCAGTTTTGTAGCGCCGTCTTTTCCCTACACAACTACATAAAGAACTTTAAAATTGCTTGTGAACTGTAGAATTGGTGAGCGTTTCAAGATGTCATGTTTTTTGCTCATTTTTACTCGAACATGACCTCAGTTTGACCTCAATAACTCCTGACCTGAGGTGACCTGTGACTTGAAATTTTGTGTGAAGGTGTCAAATTGATGTCCGGTAAGGTACCCAAAATTTAGCGGCGCTGCGCGCCGCCGTTTTCTCGCTATTTAAGAAAAACCACAGGGGGGAGCCAAAATGGCCCCCCCCCATCAGGGCGCGGGTTAATCAAGATTGATTAATTACTGCTCGATGGGGAATTCAGGTGTAATTATCAGCGCATGCAGCGCATGCGGATATTCAAGCGCGAGCTATGTGCGGCGTGTGTTTGTGATTGGTGATATTCTGCTGGTCGTGCGATGCAGTCTCCCTATCGGACGTTGCAGTCTCCTTTGTTTGTTGTTAGGTTTCGCTCACTCGATGCAGTCTCCAGATATTTACGCCTTTGATCATACTTCTAAGATCAAATTGTGTGTACCGAGCGATATTTTGTGACTTCTTAAAACAATTCTTAATCATGTGTTGTAGCCTGATGAGTTGCAACTAATATCGTTCCACTCGGTCGCCATTTCCCACATTGCTGGACACTGGTGATGCGTTTCTGTCCGCGCGATGCAGTTACCTCTGTTCGGATGCCGATGTTACGTTCTTGTTCGGGCGCTGTAGTCTCCATTACCCCAGAGCGGCGCTGCCGGCCGGCCCGCCGGTGCTGTCGGGCCTGATTGACGGTCTCTCCCCACGGCGGCACCTACAAACAGAGGGCCAGGGGCACCGCCCGCCCGCACCGTAATCGGGCAAAAACGGAGCCCGCACGCCGATACGGCCTCTGGTGCGGCTCATCTCTGGGCTAACTGTGCTAGTCTGGGTATCCGTCGGGCTGTGATCGGCACGCAGAGGCTGTACCGGCGACTCATCAGCGCACCTGGGCCGGGAGTGGCCGTGCCCCGCCTCCGGAGCGGTAAATCTGCGTACCTGGGGATGGCTCCCTCTCCGCCCGGGATATGGACTATATCCTAGGCAGACTACTATCCCGCGGTGGTGTACCCGGCCCGCTCAGCGGTGCCCTACACTCCCAGCAGGAGCCGGCCACCCAGCCAGCCGCCGCGAATGACGGCACGCAGCCTCCACTCCCACCCTCCTGCCGGCCCCGGCCGCCAACATTAGAGCTCTCCAAGGTGCAGCTGCGGGCCGGAGAAATACCTGCGGCTGGGGGCGGCGCCGTCCGGCGAACTGGGCCCGGCGGCGGGCCAGTCTCGACGGCGCGCGACGGAGCTCCGCAGTGGTGTAGGTCAGAGAGCGCCGCCGATAGTGAGTCGTCGACGGCCCGCTGTGACGGAGGGAGTGGTGCGGCTCGTGCGGGAAGCTCGCAGTGTGAGCGGTGTCGGCTGGGAGAGTGGATCGGAGACCTGAACTGCAGCAGATCCCAGACTAACTCTCAGAGGTCGTTGCCCGCTGCCGTCGCTCTCCGTGTGTGTGCGCGGTGGGTCACTGCCCGCTGGCTGCTCCGTCTGCGTGTGTACTGTGTGGAGTGCGCTCAGCGCTAAGTGTGGGTGACAGAGTCGGCCGGCCGAGGATGCGATGCCGAGTGTGGCTGTTATGAGACGCAGCGCCGACCGGCCCCCAGTCCAGGCTCAGGTGAGGGATTTGAGGGCTCGTGTGGGGGAAAATAAGTTATCAGTCCTGCTGATCTCAGTAAGGTGAGGAATGTGATGTCTCTTTACGTTCCTGCTCTCTGAGGTGTGTTGTTCGGTCGGTCTTGTTCAGGCTCAGGTGAGAGTTAAGAGGGCTCGGTCAGTTCGAGTCAGATCGGCCCTTTGTTCAGCCGGTGAGAGGAGGAGAAGTGTTCCACTATGGTCCGGTTAGGACATGACTAGATGACCAGATTTATCACACCGTGAAGGTGTGGGATCCGGTCCAGTGTTAAAGTGAGATATGAGACTTGATCCAGTTTGATCCCTTGCGGTTCGGTCTTGGGTTGGTCGGTCCGTTTGTTGCGTTTATCTTTCGGGTGGTCATCTTTTGGGTTAGGAATAGCCCGAGCTTTATTTAAACCTTTGAATTAACTATCACAAATAGTTATGATCAACGCATTTTGATGGACTGTGACAGGTTTCGTCATCATCACTGTCGTTATCAACATCATCGTCGTCTCAACTTTCTATGCGCTCTTCAAGGAGGCTCAGTCTGCCTATGAATGGAGGGAATTTCTATTCGACTGCATCTATAGCTCGCGACAGCTGAGCCACCGTAAACGATTGGAGCTGAACCATAGCGTCTTATCTGAAGTCAAACGCCCGCGACTAACGAGCAATGCTGATGGCCCGCGATAACTATCGCTCCATGACTGGCTTTGTCCGTTTCCAGACAAATGTATTGTGTTCGGTTACTGTTGAATGCTACACTTTCCCAAGTTTCCCGTTGTTGATGTAGATCTGGTATCTCTACTCCCCTCCCTTCCCATTTGACCTGGAATAGTCTTACTCTTGCCAAAGATTCTATGGATCTACTCATACCAAAGCTATTTATATCTTGTCTCCCTTGCCTCACCGCTTATATCATCCATGGCGCACGCAGAGCCACTGATGAGCCAGCTCCGCCCCCGTCACGCGCTCTGACCCCCTGACGGCAGACCTTTGGCATTGCATTTGGCCTTTGCTCGGGTCAGATCGTGTCATCCTCTCCCGCCGCTGCGACCTGGAACAAAAGTCCCATGCTGCACGTGCCATCATGCCGAGAGTGAAAGTAGTGGTGCGTGCCTCAGGGTTAGGGACCATGACCGACAAAAACGAATAAAACGTGCAGCAATGCCAATAATTTCATGTCAGACTGCAAAAAAGAGGGTGCCGTGTAAGCAGTCAAGGTAAAGTTGGATATCACGAGCTGATATCAGGACAAGTCGGTACTACTGGGGCCTCTCCCCACCGCCGTTCTCTTAGTTTCTGAACAGCAAGCTGTAGTCTTCTGTAGTATGTAGTGGTCTGTTAGGTCACCTGCCGTTAATGATGCCCGCTGTACCCCGCCGTGGGCGGAAGGACAGGTTCATTAGGACGGCGGGCGCACCGGGACTTACACTGTGCCTCAGGCAGGCGCCGCCCCAGGCTGGCATCTGTAGGAGTTAGGTAAACATACCGTCAGAGACAGGTGGGCTACATAGGAAACAATAGGATAGTGTCACCTGCCTCCTTCGGCTGATTCCGCTTGGATGCTTATTCAGTCGGCCCTTCTCAAAGCTGTCCTTGCGGATCCACGCTCTGTTGAACACCGTTTTCCTGTCCCCAATCCCGCATCCATTCCAGTGTTGTAACGAGATCAAAATGCGTCCGTGTAGGACGGCACCGCCATCCGCCCCCGCTTCCGCCCGCGGCGGTCGATTGGCACGCGACTACGACCGTTCGCGGAGAAAGCTCGCCGGCGGACCGTCTATCCGTCGTCGGGACGGCGGGAGGTCGAATTAATAACGCGATCATTACGGCCAGTCGACGCCGCCGGCCGCCACGAATGGTAGAGCTATGGATGTAGGTGAGCCGGAGCCGCCGGTAGTGGCGAGAACGCGGTGTGTCGACGATGCGGATTTTCAACATCCCTCTGAGGGCTCTGGAGGCCCCGCACCGTTCACGATACCTTCTTGTGCCCGCCCCTGTTTCGTCGTACACCTTCGGTTTGGTGACGCTTGCGTAATGTCGACGTCGAACTGTTCGTTGTGTGTATACCTTTGTTCTTTTACCGTTAGGTGTACTTGCACATATTCAATGGCTTGTTTTTATCGGTGTTATTCGTTTTTTTTTTTTGCATTCCTTATCCATGTTTGCCCTGCGCTCTTTCTCTGCAGTGACCCTTTATCCTTTTTGGTCTTCCTTTGCCTTTGTTCCTTCGGGGACGTCTAAAGTTTGATGAGGCGGAACACTCGGTACTGTCTGCGTATTGTGCGTGACCATCGTCTTTTGCGCAGTCACGACGTTCGTAATCTTCTGTTGATGACCCTATTTATTCTCGTGTAGTACTTTCTCTCATTTGTCATCTGCGTGCGTTTGAGCTGCGGCGGCGTCGTGCGGGCCTGGGAGCCTGCGACTCGATCGGTCGACGCTGGGTCAGGAGGAGGGACTGGAGATGACGGAGTGAGGAGGGAGTCTGGTCGCTAGTCAGCATCGTCCATCATCGGTCTGGTGTGGCGCTGGTTTTGCTCCTTGCCTCTAGTTCGGCTTCAGCGTATGGCCTGTTGTTTCAAGTGATTAATTTGCAGTACAGTCTTTTTTTATAGTGTCTTGACTTCAAAATGATGTAGGTATCCTGGTATATGGCACATCGTGTTCGCATTGTCAATGCTATGTATCTGCCATGAGTCTGCCCGACTGGTAATCTGTGATTGTCTCATGTCTGTGCCCTGGCCAGTACCTATCTCGCCCGACGTCTGTACCTACCTCTGCTTCCTTCTGTGAAGACAGGCCGGTGAGAAGGCCGAGTCGTCTGAGAGTACCGCCGTGCCTCTGACTGACCGTCTCCTCGTCTCTCTGTGTGTTCTCAGGGCGGCGAGAGGGTCGTCTGGGAGTACCGCTGTGTCTCGCTGAACCGTCTCCTCGTCTCTCTGTGTGTTCTCAGGGCGGCGAGCGGGTCGTCTGGGAGTACCACCACGTCTCGCTGACCGTCCCCCTTCCCTCTGTTCTCAGGGCGGCGAGCGGGTCGTCTGAGAGTACCGCCACGTCTCGCTGACCGTCCCCCTTCCCTCTGTGTTCACAGGGCGGCGAGCGAGTCGTCTGGGAGTACCACCACGTCTCGCTGAACCGCGTGCCCGGCTATGGGTTCGGCATCGCCGTCAGCGGCGGACGCGACAACCCGCACTTCACCACCGGCGACCCCAGCATCGCCATCTCCGACGTGCTTAAAGGCGGACCGGCCGAGGGAAAACTGCAGTAAGTGGCTCAACCTACTCACGGCACCGGAGAGGCATTCCTTCACCCACCAGACACTGAAGTGTCGCCTAAGCTAGAATGTCACCTCTGCATGGGAGTAACAATATCATTCCTTTTCTACCCGCCGCCGCTGGGGATAACATCCCCTAGACGCCATTTCATAAGTGTACAGACTGGTGGATGATACCTTCCATCTGTAAAACTCTCAGTCATCACCTCTAATGTCGTTCTAGGATTACTTTCGAGACCCCACCTCGGCGACACTCCTGGATGTCTGGCCGGCCGTTGACCGAAACTCTCTCACGACCGGCATGGTATCTGAATTCCATCGCCCCACCTCCCACTGCGAATGTCGACTAACATTTCGGGCGTGCCAAAGCGATGGTTTTTTATCTTTGTCGCCGTATGGTGCTATCTCGTACACGGTTCGTTGTGAAGCGATATTACTGGTGGAACAGTTTTCGTGCCGACGTGTGTTAGGACGAAATCGCATTGTGTTGCGGGTGATAAAATGTCGATGTGGACATGAGACATAATTAGCTTTCAAAGACAAAGTGATCCACCTGTGGTGCGACGATAGATTCGATTTGGTCAGATATTGCTTCGGGTCACTTGGCTGTATTCATCTTGGCTTCGTACTTCAGCTAAGATGAACATGCCGAGCGGCGAGCGTACCACTTTGGCTCGAAGTGGAGTGCTGTTGGCCCCCTCCGCTCCCTAGTAAGGTGCTGGTGTGAATATTGGCCCACCCTAATCGGTTGCGTGTGGCGACTATTAGACTGAACTGAAAGTCGATCTCAGCTGCTGGGCCAGACATCAGTCATCCTTCGCTGCATTCAATGCGAATCATTTTGATTGATGGCATCGCAGATGCCTATCGAGATTAGTAACATCAATTCCAGCTGGAATGTGGGTGATTTGAACGATCATTAACCATCATGCAACTGAATCATACATAGTTGTCTCGTAGACTTGGCCACCTTTTCGATTCGATTCCCAATCGGCTAACCCGTTGTTTTGATATTTGACCTCAAATATGTCGTATGCGGTAAGGTATGTAGAGACAAAAATCAGATTTGTAGATTATAGGCTGGCTGCTAAGCTAAAAACACCCTCATTGTTTGATGACATGCTCAATACCTACCTATATATATATATATATATATATATATATATATATATATATATATATATATATATATATATATATATATATATATATATATATATATATATATATATATATATATATATATATATATATATATATATATATATATATATATATATATATATATGCGCCATTGTATGGATCACGCGTGTACCTATTGGCTAGAAATACCTATGCCGGCCACTCGAAGACTCATAGTTCGCTTCATTTCACAATCTCCTGACACCACCCAAGTAGTTTTCTTCAGCACCTGCTCTACCCCTCCGTCAGTCAATAACCTTTCTTCCTCGTCTTCCAAACTCTCTCCATTCACATTATATCGCTGTCATTGAACTGAGCCCATTCAGTCTGAGTCGTGAGCGGAACTACCTCAATAAAACCTGCACTCGCGTGCTGTAACGCTCATGCAGGCCGTCATTCGCTAATGAAACTGGCCGACTGCCGATCGGCCGGCCGGCCGGGCAGTGGGCTGATTGAATGAAGTGAATGGGCGCAGCACCGGCGGCCACGAGCCGTCAATTAATTAGACAGGTTCTGAGGTCATTAATACCGGCTGATATGTATGGTAATTTCGACTGACGACTGCCCCGCCCGCTGAAGGCTGCGCACAGACAGTGTGAGTGCACGTCTCGCGGTCTGGCGCACTCGTTCGCCGTTAATTGGTTTCGTTAATTGCTGCTACCATTGTCGATTGTCTCTATGAACTGTAACGCCGGTATCTGATGGTTCGACATAGCGGCCGCGCCCGGCGGTATGCGGCTGCTATTTGTGACTGTAATGAGACGCAGTGTGCGGCGGGGCGGTGGCACAGTCACCTGTCAGACAGTAGCAGGCCGCCCCGGCTGCTCCGATCCAACATCTCCGATCGCCCACCAACGACACATTTAGTCGAGGGTGGAACTATCGTGCTGTAATGATAGCATGACCGACCGCTGGGCGATTAATGTGAACCAGTATTGCAATGCAGCTCCGAGGCTGGTGCTTGTATTTTTTATGCTGATGTTTTTAGATCTTGCCAGTGCAAAAAAAACTCAATAAATCCATACTAACCTCCATTACCACCGGCCTGTTTTACCAACACAAAACTCGCCGGCTACGGTTATTTTTAGGCCTGAAATCGCCAACAAGTGATAACGAGAACGTCAAAACAGGACCGTTGATGTGAAAAATGTATCAGTTAGGCTGGCTGATATTTTTAGACGCCGGTGATTATTGTTCCGCTTCTTTGTTTTGGTGAAACTCGGGGGCGACTTTTAGGTCTAAAAATAACCGCAGCTGACGATATTGGCAAAACTGGCCTTGGGTATGTTTTTATCGAGAACATGCTCAATGCCGCATGATAATCACTGGCAGAGCGTTTCATATCGAATCAATTATTCAGCTGCCACTGAAGTAACATGATGTTCATACAGCCCAGCCCACTGTTCCCTTGTCGCCCTGGTATCTATGTATCATCAGTACCATGTTGAATTCCCTTCCCTCTAACCCCCTCTCTCCTTGCCCACAGCGTCAACGACCGCGTGCTGAGCGCCAACGGCGTCTCGCTGGAGCACGTCAACTACACCACAGCCGTGCAGGTGCTGAAGGACTCTGGCGCCGTGGTGCGACTCTACGTGAAGCGGCGTGTTGTGCTGCCCGCCCAGCCGGAGCCGCAGACGCTCAAAGTCAGCCTGGCCAAGGCCAAGAAAAAGGATGGTGAGTGGGGGGTGACCTTGACCTGCGGTGACCTGGGTGACCCGGTATGATAGACGGACGTGGGAGAGGGCGGTACGTGTTGAGTGTGCTGCTAAGGTGTTTGGGGCGTTGGTGTGTGAAAATGGAGTCGGAATTCTGAGGGCTGTGGGATTGTGGGTTACACTGGGGCGTGGTTTGCATTAAACTGCAAGTAATGGGAACAAGGGCATGTGAGCGGTATGGAGAGCATTACCCAAGGTATTCGCCACTGGTGTACTAAAGAGGTGCCGAGCGTGAATTTATGACCGTATCAAATGTGCTGACATTATGTTTTCGTGACTGGGGCGCTGCAAGTTATAACTATGAGAAAAGTTCGCAAGAAAGTCTCATGTTGTCGCGAGTATGTAGATAATGTTCTCACATTCTATTTTATCGGTCTCTTTTTCATCACTGTTCACAGCTGTCTTTTTTAGTGTTAATATTTTACATAATGAATGCCAACTTGCATATGATATGTAATTCCCTAGATATGTGTCCAAAAGTTCCAATCTCAATCATCTCATCCGTTTCAGATTTCGGTATCGTGCTCGGCTGCAAGATCTACGTGAAGGAGATCACCGGCCGCTCGGGGTCGGGGGCGGGGGCGGAGCTGCAGGAGGGGGACGTGATCCTGCGGATCAACCAGCAGACGGCCTCGGACGGGATGTCGCTGAAGGAGGCCAGGAAGCTACTGGAGGCCGCCAGGGACCGGGTGCAGCTGGTAGTACAGCGGGAGCCGGGCTCGCCGCCGCCGAGGCCCGACGGGTACGACGCCAAAGGTGAGACTCGCGACGCTCAGGACGCTGAAGGCTGATTTCGGTCACTGGTCATAGTTACTGGATCAGCGGCTGTGCTGGGAGTTATTTTGGGTTAGCTTTTTGTGCCGGATGATCGTTGTCTCCGATTGGCTCATTGTAGCTAGTTTCCAGTGAAATAGTGTCATTTGTAAGTAGTTGACCAAGCGGCAGTTGTCTGTGCCTTTTATTATTGGGGTGCCTCGGATCTTACAAACCATTGTGCACTAGAGGTAGGTTCATGATTCATTGTTCTTTTTTAGGTTCATGATAAACTATCGCGATAATGTTGCCGTTCAGTTCGCTTTCGTGTTCTCTCGATTTCGTGTAAATTGCCTGTTCCTGTATGTATGCTAGGTCTGACCACGTCTCCCTTCATTTTACCAACAGAGAGTCCCTCGCACCACTCGCGTGACTCGTCGGACGGTCGCACCTCGTACGTGGGCCACCAGAACCTGTACGTGCAGCCGCCGACGCGCGGTGCCGACCCGCGCTCTCAGTCCATGCCCCCGCCGCCCAGACTGCACCCCGACGATAAGAACAACCTAATCAGGTGGGCTGTCAGCGGCGGAGACGGGGTTATGACGGGTTACTGGGGACTAGCACTAGTCCCCAGCACTAGTCCCAGGAGGAGTTGGAGTTGCGGCTGTCGAGAGTGAGACGCGATGTACTAGTCGAATAGTCCAAAGTAACATGGTTGCCGATGACAGAATCAGTGCGGGCACCCTAAAACACGGATATATGTATTATCACCATATTTGTGCACTGCGACGCTCCTTGTAAGCCTGCCTCATGTCGCTTGACTTCATGGGTTCTCATGCCAGTTGACGGTATTTGTCATAGGTACCCGCCCCGGTAAGTGATGCATCCATCCACCAGCTAACCGCCGTCTTTCTCTCCTTCTCCAGACAGAACGGCCGGTCGCGCGGCCCGCTGATCGAGGCTTCAGCCGGCCAGCTGGAGCCCTCACTGATGGGGCTGGGAGACGAGCCGCCACCGCCGCGGCCACCGCTGCCTAGGGACACCGGTTAGTGGTTACCTCTCGCATCGCAGATGGTGCTTTCTGTAGTATGTTGTAGTAAGGAGGTGAATGCACATTTGTAGAGTCTGAATATAGGTTAAGCATGTTTCGGTTTTGCTAGGCTGCAATGATCCATCAGGCTTTTTGAAATCGTTCTTTTTGGTATTTTACGTGAATTGTAAGCAAATGTCCATCAGGAGACGTGTAAATTACTGCCGTAAAATCGAACAGACTTTCAGCGATTTATGTTGCTCTTTGGTTGCATGTTGTATTCGCTGTAGTGTTGTGTATGGATTTTTATTAAGACATTGTCTGACCGAGTTTGGTATCCTGAATTGCCCTCGATTTACTTTAGACTTATGGCATGCAGGCAGCTGTTGATCTCGTATATGTCATGCTGTTCAGTCCGCAGCTACCGTTTGCACTGTTTTGGCCCTGTATGTAATATATCGCTGTGAGGCTTGCCGGCTGTATAATAGCCACCTACGAATCGTTATCGTAATGCTTCCTTTTCCAGTGGACCGGCCTATGATGAACGGTTCCAATGGCATGCACTCGCAGGCCAGCTCAGGTACGACGCTCAGCGCTCGAGCTACTGCTAGTGCAGCATGGTGTGATAGCCTATATACTGATAACTGATATGAGTTTATCGCTCAATGTCTTGCTGTTCAGTCCAGCTCTTCGTTGCGTGTATGCTTCAAAATTCAGTTTTGTTTTGGCGTCGGCCTGGTGTAGAACAAGACGTTTAATTTACGCCAGTTGTCAGCCTGTGTGTTCACATAGAGAACTGACGGGTGCACGGTGCTGTGATGTTGACGGTTCATTCTCTGTGCCCGTAGATTACTATGAGACCCGTCGGCAGTCGGGCTACAATCAGCAATCACCAAAGTCGAAACCCGGCGTGTAAGTAACGATATTAACATAACAATAGCAATAGTTTTCATTAGAGTCGCGCGTACGTTCAATGGATATTGAAATGATGGAACGAATGCTGGATAATGGAATGGTCTGAAATGAACCCCATTTTTGACTCACATGCCCTTTCCTTTCAGGCCGGACCCGCGGTTCGTCAGTTTCCAGAAGGAGGGCTCGGTGGGAATCCGGCTGACGGGTGGTAACGAGACGGGTATTTTCGTGACGGCGGTACAGGCCGGCTCACCAGCGGCCATCCAGGGACTACAGCCCGGAGACAAGATCATCAAGGTACGGACGGGGGCGTTCGCGCGGGGACTGGGACGGAAAACGTTTTGAAGGTGTGCTTGTTGTGGCGGCTCTGTTCACTGAGGCTAGGTGAAATAACTTATGTTTATTTGAGTTGCCTTATTAGACTGACTGACTGGGTAGTGTGTAAGGGTGTGTAACAGGATTGTATACCGGCTTCATCGGGGGTATAAGTGCTGCCTCTGTGACCTCTAGAGTGGCTGGTAAATAATGGACACAATATGACACCGTGGGACATTTTGGTAACTTGTGCCATGTGACATTCTATCATTGGGGTAACAACGCCATATGACTGTCATGACTCATGTGACACTATATCGTGACGTGTCATGTCGTGTGACTGCGATGTGTCCCGCCGTGTGTGACGCCCTGTGACGTCCTGTTCCGTCCAGGTGAACGGTATGGAGATGAAGGGCGTCACCCGCGAGGAGGCCGTGCTGTTCCTGCTCAGTCTCCAGGACCAGATCGACCTGATCGTACAGTACCGCGCGGACGAGTACGATCACATCATGGCCACGCAGAGAGGAGACTCGTTCTACATTAGGTAAGAGAGTCGGTGCTCTTGCCGCCCGGGCTGAGAGGCGCCGCGTCGCGCGGTTCACCGTGATTTTGAGCGATGTTTGTGATAGTGCTTCTGGCAATGCTTGTGGGATCGTAAACAGTGTAACATTGTTATATATGCTTGTAAAGTTTGGGGGATGTTTTATGATTGAGATTTAGTTTGGCTTAGATTGGTTTAGACGGTATGAATCTAGTATCTATGTCCAGTCAGCCATTTGTGTTTTTGGAGTTCAATCCTTTCATCCCCATGTCTTTCACAGAACACATTTCAACTACGAGCAGAGCAGCAAGAACGAGCTGAGTTTCCGGAAGGGCGACATCTTCCACGTGGTGGACACGCTCAATCTGGGGGTGGTCGGCGCCTGGCAGGTGTTCCGAATCGGTGAGTCGTGACGTCTTTTATCTGCCGGGAGTTGGGAGGACTTTACTGTCTTGGTGATCGACTTAGTTCTAGGGAGCTCCTGTGAGCTATAAGTTATGATGTGGAATTTACGACCGGCTGGCCTTACGTGGCTCCCTTTTTTCACTTTCACCGCTTCCGCTGATATGGTATAGCTTTTTGTCGTTTGTCTGTCAAAGATGCTGTATGTTGTGCCCTTCTTTTTTCTTGCTTTATTTGCTTAGGGTTGTGTTTGAAGCAGCATTTTTCACCATCTCCGTTTTCCTCACACAGGCCGTAATAACGAGGAGACTCAGAAGGGCGTGATTCCGAACCGGGCGCGGGCTGAGGAGCTGGCCAGCGCTCAGCTGAGCGCCGCGCGCCGAGAGCAGGGAAGCGCCGACACCACCAGTCGCAGTCGGTTCTTCACGCGCCGGCGGCGCCAGCGGCGCTCCAAGTCGCTCGGAAAGGACCACTGGGAGGACGTGGCGTTCTCGGAGGCCGTCTCACAGTTCCCGGCGTATGAGAGGGTGGTTCTGCGCGGCTGTGGCTTCGTGCGGCCGGTGGTGCTGTTTGGTGCAGTGGCCGACATCGCGCGAGACCTTCTGCTTAGGGAGATGCCCGACAAGTTCGCTGCTCCACGTGAGTACGGAGAGGGAGGTAGTACAGTGACGGATAAGGGCACTAACGGCTGGTGATGGTGGTGAGAGGAGACATATTTATAGTTGAGCTTTGACGGCCAGGCTCTTCTCTCAACTCGCTATTGAACGAGCTGCTGTAAATGCTTTTGGTGACACTATATGCCAGGAACTTTTAGCGCAGCCGGGTAGCACAAGTAGGTCTCAAACCATAGATCGATTGTAAGTGACTGGTTCCGTGCGGCCCTGGACCGTACCACCCTCCCCGACTATCCATATCCTGTCCTAGGTTACCCAGTAACACCTGAGCTGTAACACCTGTAACACTACATTAACGAGAGGTGGCTGCTTGGAGAGCTGTTTTGTACTTGTAACGTCAAGTACCATATGTGGGGCGGCTGGTCTCAGCATGAACTCTGTCTCTTGTTCTACCCTATCGCGACTGGGCTTGTGCTGTCTTCTGTGGTCTAATGGCCCTCAGACCAGTCAAAACTACCCCTTGCCTCGGCTGACGGCACTGCCGACCTTCTTACAGAGCTCGGCGACCAGCCGGTGGTACAGTACCAGGATAACTACATCAGTGAGTGCTCCCGTGCCGTGGTCCTCCCCTCCACCACTGCAGACCAGTTGTCCGACTGCTGCCAATTGTTTGAATTTGACACTGCATGACCTTCCTCATCTGCCCGTCAATCTGCATGCTTAGCAATGTTTGTTTGTTTGTTTGTTTGACCTCCTCCGCTTGTCACCTCCCGATCACCTGCATGATATTTCAAGTAAACCCAACTTGCTGTCTTTCTACTTCTATCATAAGGGTCATACTGATTGAGCCCGTTCTTACGCCATACGAGCAGTGATTTACCACCATTTCCGTCTGCATTATGTTGAACATTCGCAAGACTTAACTCCAGCTTCTTCTGTTGTCTCTAAAATCGGCGTGACCTGTCGTTACTCTGCTTTTTCTTCTTGAAATAGAGACAGGCTGCCTTTTTTTCTTTGTAGTCTTGCATGTCGTATAAGTTATCTGCGTAGTCATGATCGATTAGCTATGAAGACTTGCTGTGTCTTTATCTGTTCAATCATCAAGCGTATTGTTCAACCAATGAAGACTTCATTTTTTTTTTTCGAAGCTTGATAATGTTTTAGATTTCATTGTCATGGATCTTAGCTGCATTATCTATGCATAAGTAATTGAGTTCTGACTTATGCTTTTTATGATTACTTATTGTCAAAAAAAAAAAATGGAGGAAAATAATCGTCCTCCCGTTTCACAGCTCGGATGTTGGCCATATATTTGTAAGTTACGTGTCTGTCGGCCTTGAGATCAAGTGATAAGTGCGTCACCATTCTGCTCGGTTATAAAATTCGCTTGGAGGAGTTCCTCAGTGATGAATATGTCTAGCGGCTTAGTCAGAACTATGGAAATATTCCACGACCCATGTTCGCTTTTCCGCTAGCTTGTGGGTTCGTTTCTTTTCCGCAAACTTAATCAGACTACAACTTAACCACCTGTCGTGCATTTACATGACTAACCCTCTTCGGTGCAGCTTTCGCCGATGATAACATTTCCTTCCGGCTTGTTGGAAACCGACACGTATTCATCGAAAACTTCCCCCTCGTCACCGTCCCTCCCAGATCCTACACCTACCTCATTTGGGAACTTTGGATTAATGCCGACCACTGGCCATTGACCACTGAACCCCGAACACAGACCCCTGAACAACAACTCGTGACCAGTGACCAGTGACCATTGACCCACGATCCTTGATCCTTATCCCTGACTACCAATACCTTACCTCGTCTAACCCCCATGCCTACCCCGCAGAGCTGGACATGGGCTGCGACTCCAAGTCGTCAAAGAGTTCCGGTATAATTCGTCTGAGCGCGATACGCGAGCTGGTGGAACGGGGTCGGCACGCACTACTGGACGTAACGCCCACGGCGGTGGACCGGCTGAACTTGGCGCAGCTCTACCCGGTGTGCATCTTCCTGAGGGCCGAGAGCAAACATATCATCAAGGAAGTGCGGGCAGCGCGACAATCGGACAGGTGAGAATGTGGAGGGAGGTAGTCGAACGGAAGGGCAGGAAAGAAAACGGATGGGACGGGTCAATTGGTGATAGGGCGAGGGTGCCAGGCCAAGCAATGAGTCATTGCTACGGAGACCTCCATGAGCAAGAGCAGGGCAGGGCTCGGGCTGCCAGGGAGGGAGGACGATGATATGTACACTAGCACGTGAAACGAGAAGGGTGGGTTGGGCTGTTTTGCAAATAGGGAATTACATGCGGCACTGCCGTTTCTGGCCTTTAAGCGACAAGACCGATGTGTGCTGTCGTCGCCGGCGCCGCGGCGGGGCGCGCTATAAATCGGGCGCTCCGTGGCGCCTTTTCCGCCGAGCCAGATGGATGGGGTCGTCGCCGCGGGTAGCCCAGCGCCCGCCGGTGGGTCGGCCCGGCGGGCTATTCCGGGAGCCGGGGGCACACGGTTGGTGACCGGCATACAAACAGGGTGGAAATGGCAGGGACCTGGTTGGAAATGTCCGGGAGAGTGAAAATTAAATGCCGTGCGACATTCTGGTAAATACCGGACTTTAAGGGAGCCTTTTATTGCGTTTTATTCATCATAATCCGTCATTCGTTCTGACTTAGCCCACCTCTGTTCACAGGTCACAGAGCAAGTCCAACAAGAAGCTGTACGAGCAGTGTGTGAAACTGGAGAAGCTCTGGCCGCACGTGTTCACCGCCACCATCACCTTGACTGACGCCGACGGGTGGTACCGCAAGGTCAAGGAGCTCATCGACAAGCAGCAGGCGGCTCCCGTCTGGATGGCGGAGGGCAAGGTCAGTGGAAGAGGGATCAGGGACAGGTCTGAGGGGGAGATGGCAGGGTCAGGTCATATGACGAAAAGTCAGTGATGAGTGAAATCAAAGTAAACCTACCTGACCCTTGTAGCTTATCGAATAGCAATGTACGTTGCATAGCTCACAGTTCACGGTTGGTTCACACTCAAGCAGCTTGTAGGTTTTGCAGATATAGCTATGTGCATCTCCAGGCTCTAAGCTTCGATGGGTAGTTGCAGTCCCAGTAGTTTATCTTCCGTGTTGCACACGCCGACTGTCACTTGTCGCAACGCCCACCTGTACCACTCCCCACCCCGCCTCCACCACAGGCCGGCGAGACGCTCTCGGACGACTTCCTGTTCCCGATGACGTCTCGTCTATCGTACGCCTCGTCTCCGGAGTCGGACGGCGAGGGCGGCGCCGAGACGTCGCCGGCCGTCTCCCCCAGTTCGGCCGACTCACGGCTGGCTCGCAGCTCCTCGGACCCAAGCCTGTCGGCGGAGGACGGGGCGGCGCCGCCGGCCGGGGCAGCAGCGCCGGCCGCCCAGCCGCCGCCGCCGCCCTACAGCCCCTACAAACAGGTGAGAGGGCGGGCAGTGCGGGAACGCGGACAGTGTGGTGTTGAGTGTTGACTAATATTTAGTATACCTTATATACTTCTGTTACTCCAATGCATTCGATTAATCGTATGTGAGTTACGTATGTTTCTTGTCTAAAAGAACCTATGAAGTTTATATATTTGTCGGGATATCAGTTGAGATTTAGTTAATACCTGGAACCCTCACACGATCTTCATCGTTCGGGAGGCGTTGTTGGATTTTATGAGGTGAGGGTGATTTTACGATTACGGGAGGGTGATTTTACGATGTAGTGCCTGGTGATGAAAGGTTTTTTGTAGTGTCATACAGGGTTGTGTTTATCCCCGTGTGTGTGCCCGCTGACACTGACTGACGCTCGTCTCGCCCAGGACGAGGGCGGCCGGACGGGCGGCGGGCGCGGCTCTCACGGTGCCGACTCGCGGTACGGGTTCTCCCGGTACGGGGCCGCAGAGGAGCAGCACCAGTCCCTGCCGCCCGTGTCTGTAGCGGACGCGCGCTCCCGACTGGCCACCAGCCCGCCCGGCTCGCCCGTCTCGCCCTACCAGACTCTACCGCACGACTTCAGAACGAACGGCGAGCGCGGCACGACCTCGCCGCCGCCGCCGACCGTGGAGCGTGTCGGAAAGCCTCTGTCTCCACCCGTGTCGGGAACGCGCAGCTACGGCCGGGCCGCCGGCGGTCACCTGCGCAGCTACCTGGAGAGGGGGGACGACAGCGGCCCGTACATGGGCGCCGGCAAAAACTTCACACTCGACAGGGCGCACCGCACGGTCAGTGGGTTTAGCGGGCGTTTTGATTAACTAGCTAGATTTGATCATTTTTTGTCAATAACAAACATGAAACAACGTATGTTCAAACATTGCATTGGTTTTACCTGGCAGTCAAAGCGACGGTCACCTTAGTGATCAACAAAAGTATCCATGGTAATTAATAGCACCAGTTTTTGATTGGTTCACATGCCAGGTGGCTTCACATCATCAATGCACAGTGCACACTGTCCTCAAAGTGTTCTTGCAGATAGAATTACAAATATCGTTGTCGTCCTGTTACCGCCTTCGCACCAGTCACAACGTTTCCCTCCATTTCAGAACACGTACGACAGCACGTCGTCCTACGACTCCTACAACCGGTTCAGTAACATGCACGACGACCTGAAGGCGCGCGCGATGCCGACCCGTGACATGTCTGAGCCGCCGCTGTCGCCCGGCGGCCCGTCGTCACGGAGTCACGACCCGTATCGGTACACTCGGAGCACGGCCCAGCCGCTGTCTCCTGCCGGCGACCGGGAGCCGCGCGGCCACAGGTGAGTTTGTCGCTGCTCTACTGCATGTGGGCACTGCTCCGCTCTGATACGGCTGTTGACACGCACTCTATTCAATATGCGCTGCTGTCCGTCTGAGCCCACCGACCCCGCTGCGTGTGTATGTCTGTCCGTCCGCCGGCCTGACAGCACTGTCCGTTTTATCAGCTCCTCCCCGGCGCCCGCGCTCGGCTCTGCGTCTGCACATTAGCCTGTGTATGTCCGTGTGTCTCTGCGTGCAGTGAGCGAGGACGTAGCAGGGCGGGGTCGCACGGCTGTGATAGATGTAGATTTATGTTCCACATTTACATATATTTTTATGCGCTGTTGTTAGCTAAAGCAAATATAAGTCGCCTCGATTTTCTTAATCATTGTTAGTTATCTGTTCCAACTGTGAGTGCGATTTTCTCGCAGCCGTGCGGCCCGCGCTGCGGCTGGCGTCGCCCAAGCCTCTGCTGTCCCAGCCGGCAGCCTGAGCGGACGGTAACCGCGTTGGGCCCCTCTCCCTCCCCCGCCCTCTGTCTGCAGCGTGCGACCCGAGTACCAGACTCTGCCCACCCCGGGCAAGGCGGCCTCGTCGGCCTACAAGCCGGTACCGCCGCCCAAACCGAAGCTGTACCGTCGCGGCGGCGGGCCGGGCGACTCTCCACTGCGGCAATCGGCTGACCCGCGCGGCTCCAGAGACGAGTTCGCCGCCTACGCCGCCAACGGCGGGGACGACAGTGCCGGCTTCGACTCGGGCCACGGGTCCAGTCTGGACAGGAACTGCGAGCCTGCCGGCGGAGGGCGCGGGTACATGTCCGGCGGACCGGGGTACTACCTGGGTACCTCTCCGGCCGCCGGCGTCCCCGACCCGGCCGGCCTCGACCTGGCTACGCGCGACCAGCGCGGCAGCGCGTTCGAACTGTACAAGAAGCCTCTGGAGGCGCGCTACAGTGCGCCGCTGACCGATCACGGCGCCAGGTAGTATCTACTGCGCATGCGCCGTGCCGTGCCGTGTCGGCGCCGCATGCCCGGCCGGTCGCCGCCGGTCGTCCTCAGGTTCCCGTCCGTCGCCCGCTGTTGTAGACTAGCTGCATGTGCACGGCAGCCTGAGCAGGGAGCGCCGCCCGCCCCGGCATCGTGCTGAACCCGCCCTCCACCGAGATGTGACCGTCACATTGTTTGTATGTGTGTCTGTTTGGGTGTGTGTGACCCGCCGAGCGGTGGCTCTGAGGCGCCGCGCGGATATCTCATACTGTGTAGGGTAGAGAGATTGTATTTAACCTGTTTCGCTCATATACACGAGAAAGACCTATCATGTGACAGAATGCTGAATAAATCGCTCTTGTAAGTGCCGGTTTGTTGTTTTGCGCTGGATGTACCCTCGCAGATTTGTTTCCGAGATTTGTGTGACCCGAAGTTGATGTATTAGCTAGCTAGGAGCCCTAGTTCAGACATCATTGACGTTTTGTAGCCCTTGGCCTACCTGCACTTGGATCTTTCGTGTATGAGCCAATGGTAATCACGTCCACAATAGACCCTGTCTATCGTTATAGTGCATATGTATGTCACCGACGTCACGTAATTGCATTGTGGGCTTTGCTTTTGGGGCGTAATGTTGAACATTGATCATCGCACTGCACCAGAACGGGGTACCTAACTCGACACCAAACCAAACACCAGCGGTAAGTGACGGGATAGATTTCTAGCGATTTCTTTTGGGTGGGGGATGCCGCACTAACATAGCTAATTACGCAAAAACGGGGATGTCAGTCTAACTCATGGGCTCTGACCTGATTGTATGAGACTAATTATCGATGAATGATAACGTAAACAGTCCTGCAAGCACCACGTTTCGTCTGGATGCCGCACGCGCTTGACTTCGTATCTTGTCATTGCTATGTGTGTATTGTGTAACCATGTTGTCGATTGACCATTTTGTTTTATTTTGGTAAATTACACACCTATATGGTAATGTCATTTGACATAAGTCGAAACCCGACCAGATCATGATTCTACCAAATCGTGGCTTATACAATGAGGCCCAGTTAGACCGCTGCAGGACGTTCAATGACCAGTGCCAGCCTGCACTGTCATACCTGTACCCCTTGACATTGCTGACCGCTTGTTTCGGGTCCCTCTCAACCTCTGACCCTGCCCGACCTCAGAATTTCTTGCTTACAACCTCACCCGACCTCCGATCCCGCGTGACCTCTAACCCCGCCTGACCTCTCATGACCTCTAACCCCTCCTGACCTCTGACCTGTGCTGTGCCCCCCGCCGCAGCCGGCGGGCCTCCTACAGCAGTGAGCCGGGCGGTCTGGCCGGGGGCCGGGCCCGCGCCTCCGCCCGGGGAGTGTTTGACCACACCGGAGGAGTGCTGGAGGACCTGGAGACTGGAGTGGCCGTGGTGGTACCGCCGGGGGCGATCCGGCGCGGACGGACTCAGGAGATCTACTTCAATGTCTGCAAGGACGACTCGCTGCTGCCGCCGCTCGACCCCAGAAAAGGTCAGACCTCGGAATGTCGAGGACGACTCAGCTGAAGTCTGGGGTCATGGTAGGGTCGACTCTGAGCTTCGGGCTTGTTTTGGGCTTTAGTGTCAAAACATGATAGTTCAGAATCGGCGAAGGAGTTTAGAATTGTCTTCCCTGTAGGCGAGACACTGCTCAATGACCTGATCGGTATCATAACCTGTGGCACCGCTTTCGGACGCATTCAATTCTCCACGATCTAACCTATAAGCTGATTTGTAACATGTCCTGTGGCCCTTAAATGAGCACCACCAAATGACTCGGTGATCTAACCGGTGACCTGTTCCCTGACCTCACTTATGACCTGACCTGTTCCCTGACCTATTCCCCGCAGGTGAGACGCTGCTCAGTCCTCTGGTGATGTGCGGCCCGCAAGGCCTCCAATTCGACGTACCCGTCGAGCTGCGTCTGCCGCACTGCACTGCCGTCGACCCACAGAGCTGGAGTTTCGCCCTGAAGTCACTGGAGAGCCCTCACCGGCGGCCCGACAGCTGGCAGAACGTGCGACTGACCGCCGATGGGCGCATCAGCCACGTGCGCGCTGATTGTGTCTCGGTGCTGGTCGACCACTTCTGAGGGGACGGTGATTTAGGGTCGGACGCTCATTGAGTGAGAGTGAACGCTTACGCTAGAAGCCGCTGGGTAAGGCTGGATCTGAAGTGAGAGGTGCGGCCGGGGCCGCCTACGTTGGCCAAAAGTGTGCTTGGTGGAGAGCCAGAGCGGCAACGATTGGTGAGCAGCTGTGATTTGTTGGGAGCCAGAGGAAGATATCAGACTATAAAGTAGTGATTCCGGACCACGAGCTTGGAACTGGCGAGCTAAGAAGTGAGAACTGTCTGGCCAGTACTGTCATATGGGCGGTAGCTGGACGGATAGAATGTCTGAGCTTCTGAGATTCGCTTGTTCGCCGTGCTACGGTGCTGTCCCTAACTATCTTCCTGTTCTATCAGCTCTCTGTGCTGTTTGTCAACTCCTGCTGTTTCCCTGTAACCCTTCTAGCGGTACAGTTCCTCTGTCTGTCTCAATGCTCTCCTATTAGATCAGCAATGGCGCGGGAATGCGGCTGGAAAGCTGGTACGCTCTAAGTGGCCAAATGTTGGGTGGAACCCGAGAGGTTTTCGGAATCGCCACGGAATTCGCTACTGCTAATGATAAACAGCATGCCTCGGATCACAAGGACTGGAATGAGAAGTAGTGCTTTCACGGCAGGACGGGACAGGCTAGGAAAGGCGCGGGTGACGTTTCGACAGGGTATGTTTGAGCCAGCGGAGTCACGCCTCCTACCGTGTTCCTCGGTGGCCGGAATGCTCAGATCGCTGTGTCAGGCCGCGGTTGGCTAAGCTACGGTCGGTAGGCCGCCGGGCACGGGTCACAGGTGCTGTGTGCGGGGTCCTGCTCCGCTGCCGGCGCTCGGTGCTTGCTCGGAGTTCGTGGCGTGGCTGGCGCTGGTATGATGTCAGGGTCGACGTAATATCGATATGATATCTGAGAAAGGTCGGTCGGTGCTCAGGACAACGACGTGTTGGCTGTTCGACCACCGGAATGAACCTTTCGAATGGGTATCCACTATCCAAGGACCCTTCAGCAGCGCAGTGGTGACATTTTCTCTCATGTGGTGTACTGTACTCGAGTCTTCGTTTGTAGCTCAGTGGGGTTTTCACGTCGAACCAGTTAGCACTGCTCTGTAATCACCACACTGCACCCTCCAAACACCGGGACATAGACGGCAAATGGATCTAGCACACCCTGACACCAAGGCACTGCACCTCGGCACCACACCGCGGCACGCACGGGCGTCGGGTGGCGTCCCGAGCAGCTCCCGTCGCCGAAAATCCCGCCTCTGTGGCGGGCCATAACGAGTCTTCCGTACTGTGTAACTCTGCAATATCTGGAGCATATCTGACGCCGGTCGGCTCACGCTGTTTTGCTCAGTGGCCGCTGCAGGCCGGTGGCGCTGCGGTCGCCGGCCAGTTGTTGGTAGTCTGTTGATCTGTTGATGTGGTGAGGTTTGTAACTGTACATAGACGCGTGGACGCACACGCGGAGGGCGAGCCGGTGAACTGGGTGAACCGGCGCCCCTCAGCAGCGGCATGTCAATGTGATAATCGTGCTGCCATGTGTTAATACTCGCGCCCGTGCAGGCCAATCTTGTTTCGTGATTATTCAGTATCGAATACATTATGTAGTAAGTCTACTGGTTTGGAATTGAATTCAGAAGTGGACCATTGGGCCTGACGAGGAGTTGAGCGTCGGCATAAGCTGCGTTGCTCAACTCGAGAGCATCGGCATATTTGTGGCGGTGTGTCCATTTCCAATGTCCACTGTCCAGCCCACAAATCCCTCAAACACCGATTGGCTCGCCATAGCCGGGCAAATATCCGCAGTCTTATTACACGGCACATCTCACTGCAGTCTCGCTGGCTGTTATACAAAAGTACACAAAAATAGCGGCACACCCACAGGTCGGCAGCACATCTTAGAAAACATCCGTAAAACACCAAAAGCGGCACAACAAGCAGTTATCTACAGGCCGACTCGTGTAAAAGGAGTCGGCTGCGGCGGGATCTCTCGGGGACAGAGGCCGGCGGACTGAGCGAACGGAGCCAGCGTTCAGCTGACTAGACAACAGGCTCGTGACAAAAGTCCAACAAGCGTGCCGCGTACCCTTTGGACTGAGACCTAAAGTGACAGTGCATCGATCACGAGAGCTATATGTCATTCAGTATAAGCTGTTTGGATAGTGATTATGTGTCGCCGTCCCTTTAAGCACATAGCGGGAGAAAAGCAGACAGACATAAATACAAACAGGTAAAGCTGCAGCCGCACCTAGCGGTCGGAAATTATGCACACAGGCGCGTAAATCACCCAAAGAAGCGTAGCGTCACTGCCTTGTAGTCTCCCTTCTCCAATCCTTCCCTCATTTCCACACACCATGTCGGCTGAAACCGGGCGCACACATGATGACATCGCAGAAAGGACGGTGACACTTGACACACCTGACACCACACCACGGCAGACAACACCGGACTGAAATCTGGTGACACCGGACAGTCACCTGACACGCCGTACGCGCTCGTTAGTGTCACACCGACACCTCTAGCCGCTGCAGACAGCCGCCGGTGACTCTAGGGCGGGCGAATACTCCCAAAGGAGTTACACTTGTCACGGCTGGTAGCCGAGTAGCAGCCACCAAACGCCCGTCGATGTCACCGCCAGGCCGTCCAGCTGGGGTCACTTGACTTAGGTCAAATCCTTCCAGCCCAGTTAGCTGTCAGGGTACCGTCGGCTCAGTGTCGGCCGTCAACGGTCGCCAGAGACCACCACGAGCCGTCACGAGCTGTCACAGGCCGTCACAAGCTGTCACAGGCCACCAACGGTCATCACAAGCCGTTACAAGCCGCGACCGGCAGCCCAAGCCTGTTACAGACTGTCAAAAGTCGTCACAAGCCGCCCGGGTGTTCAGACAGCACGCAGAGGTCTCTCGCGCCCACCGTCCGTCAGCCCTCCGGCCAGATCCGCAGTCCTCTTACGGAGCGAGCCGCCCACACATCCTGCCGGGGGCGCACCCAGGTCAGTCACATGACCACCGGCAGGGAGAGGGTCCATTGAGTAGGTATCGGAAGCACAGGCTGAGTGTGTGGTCACGTGTCCATTAGCGGCGGTGGGTGAAGAGGTCACGTGGGAGTTTTCCACCACCAATCCGGTGTCGTGGACGATTGGAGTGGTGAGTTTGGCCGTGGAGGAGACTGTTTTTGCAGGCGGCGGCAGCACGCGTGGTAGAAGGAAGATCATGGCAGCGCAGAGCAGGTGCACCGCAAAGTAGTGCTCGCTGAAACAGAAACGGAAGGGAAACACGTCAGCTCGAAGTCAAAAGTCATCAATGATAAGCTATTGCGCGCTACCAGACCACACGTGTGAAGTTTCAAGGCCGTAAAAGTAGCATCAAAAAATGTGTGAAGCTTCCAATGATATCAATGTATAACAATGATAAAAGACGGTAAGCATCAAGAATATATGAAGTAAAGTGCAAACCTGCAACGACGTGTGGGCCTCCCTGAAGAACCACTAAACGTTATTATATAAGCCCCCAACGACGCGTGTTCCCTTCACTTATAAACACGCAGTAACGCTAATTCCCCTCACCTGTAGACGCGCATTGAAGTGGAGATATCCAGCAGTACAAACGGCACCTGCAGGTAGGCGATACAGACGCGGGTGGCCGCCCAGCCGGCCAGGTCGTATAGCCGGCGGGTGAACGCAGAGAACTGCATGCGAGGCCGCAGACACCGACGACTCTGTTGGAGAGGGGCAGAGAGGGTGTCAGGGGTGCTGGCACGAGGATCGCTTATGAAGTCTAAGCTGTCAAACGTAGGTCACATCTTTAAATGGCTGAAGGCAACAAACGGCGTAGTGCAGCAAAGGCGGTTGATCAGATAAACACTGCTTTAATCAGATATGCTAGCACCAGCTGCACTTCTGGTAGCAAAAAAATGCAGATATGAGATATGACGGAAAACCAAAAATATTACGGTAGGCAACGGTAAAGCACACGCTTCGGCTTCCGAGTGAGCCGTTAGTTCCCCGTCTGACCACAAGAGTCGCCACGGTCGCTGTCCTTACCGCTCGGCTGGCCTCGGTGCAGAGCGCGCCCACGCCGAACGTCACAAAGTAGCAGGGGTCGAGTCCGTGCCAGAGGGCACTGAGCGCGTACACTGCCACCGTGCGGTGCCGGGCGGCCCGTTCATAGGCCACCAGTCGCAGCCACTGGCCGGTGCCCACGTTCCAGCCCTGGAGCACTTCGCGGAAACTGCCGCCCATCTGGGGAGAACGAGAGGGAGGGTTAGATGGGGCGATAGGGGAAAACAAAGCAGCCACAGGGCTACCACTGCTACCCATACGTAGGGAGGGAAAGGAAGCGAGTAGCTTAGGGTAACCGAGAGGGGCACCACAGAACAATTCCCACGCAACGGAAAAGGGAGGGGATGTCAAACCAATCATCGTTACCCGCCAGTAACGATACTAGCCGAATTAAGCCATAACGGGTAACATATATCGCAAATCTGTAGCTGACGGACAAGCAGAGATAAACTACAGGCAGAATTGTGAACACCACATATTTGTGTAGGGTTTAATAATAATAGTGCGATATGAATTACACAGCACACAGTAATCGTCGGTCGACAGCAGGTTAACGCTTCGGTGAGACGGGCATCACTTACCGAGCGTGAAGTGAGAGGAAAATATAGTATTAACTAATGCAAGCAACTTTCACTCAATGACGATCTTATCGAGCATCATAATAAGCGACCGGCCCACTGGGCACAACTTTCACAGGTGTCCACATGCGTAAAAGCTCGTGGTGACCCAAATCTAAAAACCGGCCCTCGGGTGTTCGGTGAGAAAAAGTCGATGTAGTGACAAAAAGCCGACAAACCGGAACCACCGGAAAAGCAGTATTACCACCACCGCGCCGGAGACCATACGTAACTCGCATAACGACGAGGAGCGTGTCCAAGGCGTTAGGCGCTTCTCTTAGCCGACTTCGAATTATGTCAGCATTGCAAATCTAGGAACGCTATGAGTGGAATCGTACTTTGGACTAGTCTGATCCACAGGACCGTTCAACATTTTCCAGTACAGGCTGACCTTCTCCGTCGAATCAAACCTCTCCAAAACAGATTTACCTTCCAGTACAGTCTGACTTTCCACTACAGTTAGACCTACAAGTATAGTCTGACCTTTATGGGACAGTCTGACCTTCGCACGACCCCTGACCCCTCTCCAGTCCCCAGCATAGCCCATCCATACTCCCCGGTCGGCCGGTCGGGCAGCTGACGCCGCTCGGCGCTGCTCTAACTCCTCAGATGTACGACCAACCATTGATCACGGTCGCCGTGCCGGTGAAGCGGGAAAATGAAGGAACGATCCGCCCCAGGGTGGAGAGGGGAATCACACCACCTGAGAGCGAGCTTACCACGTTAATGAGAGGCCACCATTGATCGTCGTCAAAGGTGACAAAAGGGTATTGGCCCAAAGATTTAGGATAGAGTGTACCAACTGCAGTCATAACCGGGTCCGTGTCGAATTCAAAATCATCAGCTGTGGACCCACTGGCCCGGCTAGGAATATAGAAATCTAGGCTAGGATCTAGGCACAATGTCTGGCATGAGCTCTAGTCTACAGACACAACTTTCCCCACCAGTCGAGAACAGCAGCTCAAGGGAACCGTGGCAGCACGAGCTCCTGGCCCTGAACGACAGGATGAAGCGACAGAATAAAACGGGTCCTCTCACACCATCCTCTCAGAGCGAGTCCTCACCTCGACCTGCCACAGATGAACGTTGGAGACGGCGTCCCAGCGCTGTCGGCCGTCCTCCCCCAGGCCGCTGTAGCCCAGTCCGGAGGCGTTACAGACCGCCCCGGCCAGACACCAGGCGGCGTAGTACTTCATGCGGCCCATCAGACCGGACAGGTACATGTAGCCCCACTGGCGCCACCACGACCAGCCGTAGTAGGCCTCCTCTGACGGACGGAGGGGGGGGGGGGTGTCAGCAGGGGATAGCTGGTTTAGCAGGTGCAGGCCGGACGACACTTATTGACCGATCATTAAGAAAAGCATATCTGCTCAGCTAACAGACTGATTATTTTTAAACAATAACTCACAAAAATAGGTCGGATGGGCGTTAAAAGTTGCACAATTGAATAAACATGTCAGCTAAACCAGATCGATTTCACTCGTCTACAGTAAAATTTCCATCATACCCATCACTTCTTAATCGGTTGCCCACCATATACCATCCACAGTCCACCCCCGTACGGCTATCGGCCGGCAGACCGACCGGTGCGGTATTTACCTCTGAAGAAGGCGTGCGGCACCTTGGGCACCAGGAACACCACGCACCAGGCGGTGATGGTGACGACTCCCAGCTGACGCAGCACGGCCCGCCACGGTGAGGGTCGCACCAGGTTGGCATTGCCGTCAGAGCCAGTCTGACAGCACAGGGAAGGTATAGGTCAGTGGTCGGGTCAACGGCAACGGGGGTTAAGGGTCAACGGGGTCAACGGTAGGTAAGCAGACGTCGGCGCGGCGCGCAGTTGCCTGCGCGCCGCGCCGACGTACGGCCGCGGCGCCGGTGCTCCCGTCCCACCTTGCCCCGTTGCCTTGAGTGGGTGAGTGTGAGCATGTGAGCGTGATTGACTGTGGAGTGCTTGGGTCCGGCTGTTTCCTGATTTTCGTCCACCGAGACCTCGAGTGTCTGCCGATCGACATCTTTGGCTGCACTCGACCGTCACCTGACGCTTCGGAGTGCCTGCCGGTCGTGCCGGTGGGGCGGGTGCGGCATCCGCGTGAGTTCTGTGAGTCCTCCGACTCTCACCTGCAATCATGCTGCCGCACCGTTTCGTCCATCGTGACCTGCTGAGGTGCGTCGTTCTGCTGGCTCTCGTCCGCGCTCTGGTTGTGGCTGCGTCTCCCTCGCCCCGTCCCCCAGCGGCTCGTTCGTGGCGGCCGGCCGGCGTTGGTCCCCGTGACCTTGAACTGGGCCGTGACCGGCACCCAGCTGACTGCGTGCTCGGAGCTGGGGCGGCTCAGCCGGCCGGCCAATCAGCTGACTCCGGCGGCCGCGTGCGCCGTGCGAGGCGCGGCAGGCGCGCGGCCGGGGCTCGCCGTCGGGGGAGCAGGGGCGGCCGCCGCCGCAATGGGACCCCCATGGGAGCCTGCGTCACAATTGGACTCATCAACATTCAGTCCCTGAAACCTAAGCTGCTTGAGCTCGCTGACCACCTGCACAGGGAGCGTTACGACCTGATGGGTCTTTGTGAGACCTGGCTCCGGCCCTCCACACCCAGCCGCCTGCTTATCCTGCCCGGCTACCGCCTCTGCCGCGCCGACCGGCCGGCCGTCGGGCGGGGAGCGGGGTACGGCGGGGTGGCCCTGGCCGTACGGGACGGACTCAGCGTGTCCCCGCTCAACATCAGCACGGAGCCGATCGACAACAGCCAGCTGGAGATGCTCTGGACTCTCGTCCGGCCCGACAGCAAGCGCCGATTTGTCATGGGCGTGGCCTATCGCCCCCCTCGACACCGAGTCGCTGACATAGAGGCCGACTTATCAGACCTCGAGTCCCAGTACCAGCGCGTGTTGATCCGTCACCCGTCAACCAAGATAATCATATGCGGTGACTTGAACTGCGACATGTTAAAGCCAGTTAGCGACCCGGCTCGGAGGCGCCTAAGTGAATTCCTTGCTGACTTCTCTCTGTCACAGCACGTACTGTCGCAGACTTATTCAACTGGATCACTGTTAGATGTATTCATCACTTCATGTAACCGTTTCGTGAACCGTTGTACCACCCGCTTTTGCGATTTTAGTCCTCACCGGTTTGTTCGGACTGTCATCGATGTGCCTCGTTACCGTCTCCCTGCACGTACGGTACGCACCCGATCATTCCGTAGGCTAAACGTCCCAGACTTTCACCTGGACCTGAACCGTGCGTGCTGGGACAGCGTGTACGCCGCCCCGACCGTGTCACTGAAATGGGATGCGTTTCTGTGTACCTTTCGGCCTATCATGGATGTCCATGCGCCGATGAGAACTGTCCGGATCAGGAACGCCAGTGCGCCAGTGGTGAGTGACGCAACTAAGGAGCTGATGGCTCGCCGCCGCCAGGCGCTGAGGACCCACGGGCACGGCTCGCCTGTTTATAAGGACCTGAACCGCGCGGTGCGCTCGGCTATCCGCTCTGACACCTGCTCGGAGGTGCGCCGGCGAATCAGTGAGGACGGCCGTTCCTCTATGTGGAAGGCTGTCCGCTCGGTAGTGGGCGGCAGTAAGGCGGACAGAGCGCTACCCGATGCTACCCCAGATCAATTGAACCAGTTTTTTGTCGGTGTTGGACCACGTGTAGCGAGAGAGGTGAGGGGATCAGGGGTATCCCCTGACCTCCCCTGTCGCTTGCCCCGTGTGGGTGCGTGTTCGTTTAGTTTGTCACCGCTGACCCTGACTGAACTGCGTAATATTGTGTTTGGCATGAACGGATCCTCCGCCTGCGGCGAGGACGGCATCACCATGCACATGATTCGCCTGTCTTTTGATGTCATCGGAGGTGTGTTCCTCCATTTGCTCAATTCCAGCATCTCCAACGCCGACGTTCCTGATCCCTGGAAACATTCCCTCGTCCATCCCATCCACAAGTCCGGCGACCCCTCCGATCCTTCCAACTTCCGACCCATTTCCATCGTTCCCGTCTTTGCCAAAATTGTAGAGCGTGCCGTCCACCAGCAGCTCTTCAATTACCTCTCACAAAACCATCTCCTATCCCCAACTCAGCACGGATTTCGTCATCGTCACTCGACTGAAACCGCGCTGATATCCATCACCGACCAAATCCTATCATCCAACGACCACGGCGACCTCTCCCTTCTCTGCCTGCTGGACTTGAGCAAATGCTTTGATGTGATAGACCATCAAAAACTTCTCACTAAACTACAACTTCACGGAGTAGAAACGACATGGTTTTCGGCCTACCTTCAAAATCATACCCAGAGCGTCTGCTTCACAGACAATCTGGGTAACATCAAAAAGTCATCTCCTCTTCCCAACAACATCGGCGTCTTCCAAGGTTCTGCTCTCGGCCCTCTGCTCTACTGCGTCTTCGCGAACGACTTATCCTTGTTCACCGGAGACGCAGTGGTAGCACAGTACGCCGATGACACACAAATTCTGGTCTCTGGCAAAAAATCTGACATGCAAAGCGTGGTCAGGAAGATGGAAGCAGTGCTGACTTCCATCGACCTTTGGTTCCAGGCCAACGGCCTCAAAGTTAACGCAGGAAAAACTCAGCTGATGTTGTTGGGAAGCTCTCAAAATCTGCGCAACGTTCCTGGCCTCTCTGTCAAATTCCGCGATCATGATTTACTCCCTGTCTCGGAAGTTAGAAATCTCGGTTTAACATTCGATAGCACGCTCAGCTGGACTAGTCACATTTCTTCTCTCACAAACCGCTGTTTCGGAACCCTTCATGGTCTATCACATCTAAGGAACCACCTCCCACCATCGGCTGTCACCGTCATCGTCCAAGCCCTCGTTCTCTCGCAGGTCCGATACTGCATCTCAGTATACGGCAACTGCACGCAGACAAACCTCTCTCGGCTCCAAAAAATAATTAACTATGCTGCAAAGGTGATTTTCGGCCGCAAAAAGTACGACCATGTATCGGACCTGCTGGATAACTTGGGCTGGCTCAGCGCTGAGCAGCTTGCTCAGTATCACTCTCTGTGCCTGCTGCACAAGGTGCGGCGATCAGGCGAGCCAGAAACCCTGGCTGCCCAGCTGGTGCAGGTATCGCAGACGCGGCAGCGATCCACCAGACAGGACCGCAATCTGTCAGTCCCACGATCGCGGTCAGCGATGGGGCAGCGCCGGTTCTGCTGCCGGGCGCCCCTCGCCTACAACCAGCTCCCGTCAGAACTGACGCGTCTACCGGCCCACCTATTTGGTCGGCACCTCCAATCCCACCTACGGGGAGGCGAGGTGACTTAGACAGCGGCCATGAGTCTGTATGAGTGCATGTGTATGTTTGTTTGTGTGTACGGGCTTTGAGCGTATTTATCACGTTATTTTATGTTATGTCTCCCATGCAGAGTTTTAGCCCTGTACGAGCGGCCGTAATAGCCACGAGTGTATCGTGGATGGCTTCAATACACGTCTATGTCTATGTCTATGTCTAAGCAGAGGTTAGCGGTGAGGACAGAGGTCAACAGTAGACGTAAAGGAGTCAGGAAAGGTCATAGACCTGTGTACACCGTATATCTCTGTATACCGTATGCAATTGCAGAGGTCTATGGAAAGGTCAATGTTCGGGTCAATTGCAATGCAGCAGATACCGGCACCGATCAGCGTGATCCAGCATTTAGTTACACACGAATCAAGAGTCAGTCTCGAAATGAAGTTAGCATCGGGAGTCGAGACAGCGGAGCTAAACAATAAATATCTGTAATATGCACATAGGGTTGAAATCAGGGCACGTGGATGGTTGGTTAAAACAGTCAAGAAAGTCGGCGGTAAGTGAACTGACATAACAAGCTCAACCCATTCTCCGCCTGGCCACCATCCAGTCCGACCAGCGTATCCCAACCAGCCCGACCAGCACACCAGCCACGTCACCAGTTCTCCAGCCGGTCCAACCAGCAGCGGGTCACCACGCGCCGGCAGTGACCGCGTCAGAGCTGACCGCCCAGTCCCACCCCCGGGCCCACCTACCGACGGAGATCGCCCCGACCGCTCCCGGGTAGGCACGGTAGGTATTTCATCAACTCCACATAGCGACCCACTGCGCCGCGGGTGCCTAGGCTCCTTCGATCAATACTGCTCAGTTTCCGGTAATTTGTTTTCCGGACTGGGTCCGACGGCAAACTCCCGCGGGATTGAGTGAGCTCGGTGAGGGAGTTTAATTCCTCTCTATGGGATAAAGGGAGTTTGCTGTAGAGCAGTCTCGCCAGATCTCTATCAGAGACAAAGAGGATCTCACCTTGTCAACAGGTGCCCCCGGCGGCGGCGGAGACACTCCCGTCTCGATGAAGTGTTTGTAGTGCCGGAAGTCGACCATCGGCCCCACCAGCACTGTCTGGAAGTTGAAGGCGTAGCCGGCAAACTCCAGCAGGCCTGGCACCCGACTGAAGAAGAGAAAAGGAGGGAAGATGATGGCTACAGAGTGGTTAAGTTTACAAGATACAGCGAGGGGAAGGAACGCAATAAATATAAAATTTAAGTACATTTAAGATTTACAGATTCACATGCTGGCAATATTCTGCGAAAATTCAATTTAGTTCCATGTTTACTTTACACGATTCTGAATTTCTGAGCGGCTTTCGGCAAATAGACACCAAACCGACCTAACTGCCAGTCGCCGGATATCGGGGTTGTTAGTCTGGAGGTCTCCAGTGTCCGAGGCGGCGCCGTCGTGGATGTTGAAGGCCAGGAGGGTCACCTTCATGGTCAGCACCATCACAGGTCCTGTCGAACGGAAGAAAATGATGTCAGCTCAATACCCCGTCGAGAAAAGGCGCAGTCGGCCGACATTTAGAGAGATCCTATGCTGGGTGACTATTGCACTACCGGGGAATGCGCCCTAGTACGGCAACAACAGCAACAACACTGCCCAGTAGAGATATGCCAAACTATATTATGTTATTTATTCAGACTATATTTAGCCGGATAACAAGACAGCACGAAAACAAAAACAAAATATATCCGGAAACCAGTACCGACCGATAACCGAACCGAACCGGGATTGAGAGCGGTATTACATCGCTAGCTAGGAGCTTAGCACAAGACGATAGGAGCTTAGCACAGGACGATAACAGACAGCCGGACTTGGAGTCCACGCCACACGACCTGTGTCGTGAGAACTGAGAGTCATGTGTCGTGTGGCGGGCCCTCAGGAAAGGTTGATGGACCCGCTACTGAGGGCCCACCACCCGTTAGCCGTCGAAAAAGAAGCCTATCACCCGGCCGTCACTCAGATCCCGCCCCCCAACGTTGTGTCGGCTTACCGGAGACGTCGATGTAGGGGTTTCGTCGACCGAGTCGCCCGTAGTGGATGATGGTCAGATAGATCATGGCGAACAGCAGACATAACCTGAAACACGGAGACGTTAAGTTCACGAGTGGGTCTAACAATGTTCAAGCCGATCAATTCAACCAATTTTGGCAGAGCTTTTAACTTCGCCAGAATGCGCTACATGTCAGCGTCAAGAAGGGCGATTTGCCGAAGCTTAGATCGGAATCAAAATATTAGTCGATCCAACAGCATTAGGAAGTGTACTTCTTGTTACACTTCGCCCATCATTTTATGACTGAAAATAAAACGGTTGGAGTGGACCTAAGCCACCCTTTTGTAATCAAGCCGAAAATAATCCCACCCTGTGTACCCTGTAGCTTACGGGGATCGAGCCCTTTAGCCAGTGCCTTCGACCGAGTGACGCGTTCATGGTAACAGCGCGCATACTGCAGATACGGGGCTCAATGGTGCATTAGCTGGGCACACACGCGTGGGCGCTTAGTTCCGGCCCAGTCGAGCGGCTCCGCTCGGCCTATCGCTGCCCCCTCCCTCTCCCTCCCCTTCCCCACCGCTAGATCGGCACTCGGCAAACGTTGGCACCGACGTCGGGTAAACTCTCCCCTCCCCTTCCCCCGACACAGGAACGTCGGCTGGTCTGGGTCTGGAGTAGGGAGGATCGGAAGAGTCGGTGGGGCGATCCGACGCAGGGCTGAGAAAGACGGTGAATTTCGGATGGCAGCAAGGCGAAGGGGTCAATTTTGGGCGTCACCTCAGACAGTGTAAGAGGTGCATTTCGTAGAAAATTAGATGTAGCTGCCGAGTGGAAGCACGATTGGGTACCGTGCTCACAGGAGAGCACTGTTTTCTAATATGCAGACCGGCGTTTCCGTTACGAAGCTCGATGCGTCACTGTTGCGACAGTCCTTTGCGCGTTAGGCACGAGTGCTTGAGACGATAGCAACCTTGGGAAATCGATAGATGACAGTTGATAGCAATGATAGCAAGCAGAGAATTCGCTACTGTTGCCGTATAAACAAGATTGAATATTTTCGATACGTATCAAGGAGCAGTTGTCGAACACTGATAGCTCACTTCCGAACTATAAAAACACTGGTGTATTCGGATCATGCGGTCCATTGCCGATGTAGCCAACTGCTCAGACGAGCCGACCAAACACTCCCGTCAGTTTCGGCCAGGATTCCGGCATCCTAAAGCCGCTGGGGTTACTGAGCCCTGAGGTTACTGAGCCCATAGGGTCACTGAGCCATGAGGTAAGCTGGCGGGCTGACTCTGGATTTCGAGGAAGGACCCGTTCGGATTTCTAAGTACCGTTGCATCCATCTCTACCAGAAGACGAGACCACTTGGATCGAGGTATAGCAAGTAACTGCGAAAGATACTGACACGAATGAAATAAGGACTTGGAAAACGATATGAGAGTGACCTACGGATACGAATTGGGAGTGGGAGTAGGACTGGGTGATGGACTGTCATGGTTTACATTACTGGACAACCTTGACCGTACTGCTGGCAGTGTTACTGAGCTAGCAGTGGTATACCCACCCAACTGGCCGCGGTAGCTACTCCCCGGCCCGTAGATGGTCCAGGCCGCCGTCCAACATTCCGCGTCCCAGTGCTCTGAGATGTCGGAACAGCTGGCCAGACCCCTTCCGGCCTTCAAAAGCCAAACAAACCCGGGACTTTCCTCATTCGCAGTAGCACGCTATACACATCGCACACACACGGTGCTTCGGACCGCGTGCATGTTAGCCCACACCAGGCCCGGGCATACCATACCACTGACAGTCACTATAAACCGAGCTCCTGAATCAGCGGCGCCATGGCCCGATTCATCGGAGGGCATTGGGCCGAGTCAGTCAACTCAATGACGACAGCTTTAGCCGAATTACTGCGCATCAGTGCCGGGTTTTGGTTAGGCACTCAAGGTGTACGCGCCTTGATAGGAAATAAAACTAGTGCAAAACCTCGATATTTCTTGAGATGTAGGCAATGGATGGTGATTTGTTACATCACGCCGCAGTGATGATTTAACATAGCAAACATCCCGAATCAGCGTTTGTTGTGAAATTTCGGCTATACTGCGCCTCAGTGTATCTTAGCGTGCCCCGGGAATAACTGCGCCTCACAATGTTTGTTATCATTCTCCCGTCATAACTGCGACTTTAGTTTACATCCGCTGCACTTCAATTTGATTTCATCAAGTACGGTAAAAATGGCGCCATTCAATCGTCAAATATCGCCCCGTGGATCAGTCAAGGCCAAAACAGGCGGGACTACGTCACTGCATTCCTGCCGGTCGGTTGTTTATATAACGCCCAGAGTGGGTGTGTACATTCTGTATAATGCATCCGCCTTAGAAGATCGATTGCACGGTTAGGTAATGTGTATAGCGGATAGCCGTCCTTGCGCCAGAAACCGTGCTTCAGGCTCCGAGAAACGACTGCCATAACGGAGGAACTCTGGGCTCCCGGCACTCGCTCAGGAAATATCAATTCCATTGGAGGAATGCCTGAATTTTCCTTAATTGGTACTGGTATGTTTCTCGGAGTCGCTATGAGGTAAGTACGTATAAATACTGGACAATTGAAAACATGGTGGTGCAGGGTCAGCTAAGACCAAGGTCGCACAGTCGCGTCGGCCAGCGGGCCATGAAGACGTGAATCTTACTGATGGAGCTGACATGAGGTCAGTCGCGATCAGCTGCCGAGATAGACGAGACGGCATCGTTCACAGTAGGTCCCATTCGAATCCTTCGAGATCCCCATTCCCCAAGAAGGGATATATTGAGCAGTAAGCACCTGCTGACGGCTGAGCTATGAGGGGTAATTAGACGAGCTCATACCATCCACAGTAAACGTCACCACTCATCAGCTGACGTCGCTACGACCCACAGTATCAGCTGATGTCCTACGTTCAACTCACACAGACTGACTTCGCCACTCACATCATATCCCACTTCATCAGCTGACGTCACACTCACACCATCAGCTATAGTTGATGGTTATAACGTCACCACTCACATCCCACACCATCAGCTGACGTCACATCACATTCACATCACATCAGCTGAAGTCAGTGTATCTCACCTGTGGACGTATTTGGCGGGCGCCAGTCGTATGACGCTGTACGTCACTACGGCCTGAGTGATGACGTGTACCGTGTCTCTGCAACAGAACACAGCACGGGCTCAGCAGCGGCCCAGGTATAGGCAGGACCTCAGCGCCGGCGCAGGTATAGGCGGGGAGGGGAGGGGGAGGGGGACCGGTCCGGCCGATAGAGGAGTGACCTCACCGGCGCGCCGCGCAGCGCCGGCTAGAGGACAGGTGGGTGCAACGAGTTTGGGTGAGGCAGGACTGACGTCATGAGATTGGTATTAAACGGCGTGACGTCACTTCGTTGTGAGGACCGCATCGTCAAGTGCGCAACGAAATAAATAAATATTTAATTTGTTTATTTAGGAAATACGGACCTAACCGTGCAGCAAAGCTTTGGCCGTCGTAAGAGCACCGTAAAAGCAACACTTTCTTATTAATGGCACAGCAATTGCATTGGGCAAATGAATTATTGTCTTGTACAGAATAGCGATTAACTAGGTGATCGAGCAATAAGGCTTCCACATAGTCGATTTCACAATATGGACCACAAGCGATTGTTGAATGCCTATTACGATCGTCGATCGGGACGGAACGAGGGAAAGGGAAGAGATCAAAGTTCAACACCGACGGGCGCGGGCGATGTCAACCGTGACAGTGAGAGCCCGTGATTCTCGTGACCAGCTCGTGTTATGGCGAGAACTCGTAATTCTCATGACCACCAGCCACGTGAGCCCGTCCACGAGGCGCCACACCGCCCACGCGAGGACCGGGAGATATAGTGCAGGCGGTCAGAATCGGAGCGGATGGTGATGTGACGCGAGGGCGTTGATGAGTAACGACTAACCAAAACGTCACGGGAAAGTGAGTAAGTTGTGACGGAAACGCCACGGGAGGGTGAGTAATTTGGACCCAGCCGTCATGGATCAGTAAATAACTCGTGATCGAACTGTAACAGGAGCGCTGATAGTTTGTGTTGGAAATGTCACATACATAATTAGAAAATGAGTCTGACAGCAGCCGCGGTCTACATAGTTTTCACCTAGCGAACGCGGCCGTGTTACGGACCGGGACTGAGGAAGACAGCGATTGAATGCATCTACAATACATTCGGCATGTGGAGTTGTACACGTACATATTTTCGCACATGTGTGCATCTGCTGACTATTGGTATACCTATCCATTTGAACATGTGTATATCGATTAATGCATGATTGTATCGTTTCAATCTGTATGTTCCTTTGTACAGCTGTCCCTACCTCGACCTGTGCCTGTTTGCACCCCCATGAGGACGATTTCCCTGTAATATGTCTGTGTCCTCACCTGCCATAGCAGAAGAGCAGGATCCCGAGGCCGGTGGCGGCGGCAGCCAGGTGCCGTGGTGCCGGCCCGACCCGACCCGGCCGTAGCTGAAGACGGAACAGGGTCGCCACAGCCAGGCCGGCCAGCTGACCAAGCAGAAAGTTCACCTGGGAGCGGACAGGTCACGGAAGGTCAGAACGCGGGGTCAAGAGGCATCAGGGCCGGGTCACGTCAGTCGTTGACAGCAAGCGTGAGGTAACCCCACCATCACCGTTAATTGTATTTTTCTCAGCAGCCCAGAAGATAACAAAAAGGCAACAAAATATCACATATATCGATCACGCACTGGTATGACCGCACATATGCGGCAGACTTAGCTACAAATGAATAAAGTCGTATTTACTATAATGCCGATGGATAAAGTCGTATTCATATAAGGCGCATCAAGCAATCAATCAATTAAACGAAACATCGATGCGATGGTAGAAACTAGGAAGGTCATATAACTTTGCCCTTTACTGATAGCCGAATGTTTCCTGTTCAAGACTCCGAGCCAGTGCCGGAACCAATATCGATCCCACGCCAAGATAAATTCACTGGACTTCGGTCCGTCTCATGGAATGTGAGGTCATATCAGATACCACGAAATCGAAATAAATCCGGTTGCCATAAGATAAGTAACCGAAGGTTTGTTGTTAATAGTTAAAACCAGGGGCGCGGGAACTACTTTCCGACTGGGGGGGCACACCATAATAGAGATCAACCTAGGGTACCCCCAAATCTAGTTTTCTCACCGGTTTTAGGCCACTTATTTTTCACCCCTCGGCTTTTTCAACAAAAAAAAGAAAACATTTGCAAAAAAAGTGTGGTATTCCGTCTCAAAGCTGTGGGGGCACCGCCCCCACGGCCCCAGAGTTGGGGGGGGGGCAAGCTGCCCCCACTGCCCCCCCGGCTCCCGCGCCTATGGTTAAAACACTATTCTTTAGAATTGTGTTTTTCTATTGAAAAACAAATCTGAGTTCCCTGACAATTTGGCAAAAGCTGCCTGAGATCAGTAACCAAAGCCCGATAGCAAACTTGAGAAAAAATAATTCAAAGGGTGGAACATTTTTCGTAACGTTAAAAACAGCTGAATACCTACTAGTGGTGTCAATTTCAGAAAACGTATGTCCAAAGTCCGTCCAATGTCCAATGCTTAAGTCGATTGTTCGTCCGAAAATGTCCAAGCCAGCCATTTGTCCAAAGATGTCCGACACCTACGCAATAGTTTACACTCAACACTGTTATTTAATTTGCTTTTCATGTACCGTTACAAGCTCAAAAGTGTTAATCATATCGAAAGCTGAGCTTTTTAATAGCCAGTCAATGTTAAACACGACTACTTTTTAAAAATGTTGAGGTGTAGCAAGCGATTGTCCAAAGTTGTCCAAAGCCTGCTGCCATTGTCCAACCGAATTCCGAATTGGACATTGGACAAAATCGGAATTCCGAAGATTTAAGTTCCGATTGACACCACTAATACCTACGCTTCCTGTTACACAACGCATAAATATTCTCACACACAAAGAAATGCGCACTCGCTTGAGGGGCTAACCTACATAACGACATGCCACTGGACACTGAGCCCGTCATTAAAAAATGAAGGCTCAATTTCAGGGAACTGAGGAACATCGGGGACGATGGCGCGCCACACGAGCACCTGTTACCGTGACCGCTTCACAAAGTGCATTTCGTTTAAATCGTGACAGCTGGCGTACGGTTATCATTAAAACGCATACACCAAACCATATGCACTGAAAGATGTGCCGCTTTTTCACGCAAATAGAAATCCATTCGCAAATCATTAACAGCAAATGGCTTACAGAATTAATACGACGAGCTATATGGCACATGGAAGTTGTTTCCTATCGATGCGATTACAAGCTCCAAGTAACTTTCTATTCGCGATATATCTATACATAAAACCATAAAAATACAAATATCTATACATCCTGGCTGCATAATTGGCAAAATACAATCATCTTGGTTCCTCTCGGAGCACCGATAAACGTTTATTTTGCGAGTCTCGAGTCAACTAGCCAGCAAGTTCATGGAATAATGAACATCTGCGGCCGGTGATGACTGCTCACTCAGCAAACCGAGATCCTATACTACCACGGAGGCGAATCAAACCGCACACCACGACCGCTGGCTCACAGACGACCTTTAGACTGAACGGCCTGAGTCGGCCGAGGGCCCGAGACCATCCCATCCCGATCAGGAACACGCTTAGTGCCAAAATATGTCCCTCGTCCACAGCCACGCATCACATGGGTATATCTGCACATCCAGCTTGCATCCAGCTTGCATAGTATAGGATCTAAGCATGCAGTGTGTAGTGTGCACTGTCAACTCGGTGCGGACTGCTGATATGCACCTATTGTCGAACTGACCTGGTCGACGGAGAGTCCGACGCGGGTGTCCAGTCCGCTGACGCACTGACTATATATACAGTCAATACTGGCTACATACTACATATCTGACTATGATACTGACCTGGTCGACGGAGAGTCCGACGCGGGTGGCCAGTCCGCTGAAGTACTGACAGCCGGGGTACGTCGGTTCCACCATGGTTATCATGGTGTCGGCCGCGGGCAAAGCTGCAACAAGCAATCGTCGTCAGACCACTGTGTAAGCACCAGGGACAAGGCGGAAATAAATGCGGCGTGACTAAATTCGTTCTCTTTTAGTAAAGCATGATTTGCACCTGCAAATGTTATGTAAGTGTTTAATTTCTCTGTCATTTGACATTTGTCCGACAAATTGCAGAGAGTCTTTACTTATTGAAAGACACAGCACGATTTGTCCACGGATATGTTCAAATATCGCATGCCAGATTATTATAAAAGTTCGAATGCAGTTCGCACAAGACGCTAGGCTGAAGCGCAACAAAGCAAGGGCAGGACACAAATGACTGACTCATTGAGCGCACCACTACGGCTGTACCTACACATATGAATTTTGTAAATAATTTATTTGCATTGGTATATGCAGACATAGCGAGACTTCGTCAATCAATATGATGCGCTGGCTGGTTACATGATAAGGTAAGGGCGGATAAGGTGATTAATTTCGGAGTCGCACCCTGAATTTAGACTTATTCAGCGTGCACCATCCCTCTTCAGTTGAGCCCTCCTTACCACGAAACGCACCTGAGCTATCACTTCCGTCGCATAGGCCGGCTATACGAGTGTTAGTGGTATGCTCAAGTGACCTGATAACGTGCACATCTGGACTGAAGACTCACCATCCGGTGAGCTTAAACCGTCAGGTGTTACAAAGATGGCGAAGATAGAATAGCGCATCATCACTCAATATAGTTATGAATCGGCTTATCCAGACTTTATATTTCTAAGGATACTTTATGGTGTGCTATAGTGCATGTATGCACCAGGGCTTTATTGGTCACTCGATGCCAACGATATTTCAGTCTTTTGTCAAGGCTTTTTCATGAAACCCCACAAATATTCAATGAGCCATAACGTAGCCAAGATAATCGGGATGGCTTCTTCACGATCTGAAACGTGTTTCGTAAATGTCTTACGTCCCGCCAAGCGCCTTGTGGCTGTGGTACGATCGAAACACATCGAGGTGAAAAACGAATTGTTACGGCGTGTTCTTGCGTTTTCCAATTCGGCATTTACAAGACACACACTTTAAGATGTTTGAGTGTAGGAATGACATTCATGCGAAAAAGAATCGCTTTCATATGCTTCCATTAGCTTTGATGCGGAGGTCGCAAGCTTGACCTGACTTTTGGTCACATCACAAATCTTAGATGCCTTTTTCCACACGTTCCTGATAATTCGCACCTCATTTCAAAGCAAGCCTTTAGTCGGTGTAGCTAAGGCGAGCATTACTTTTTCTTTAACAGACGCCATTGCACATGACCCGGTGACCACTGACCTGACCTTAAGTGACCTAGCAAGGCTGAAATGCTCACAGCATGTGTGGAAATAGGGCGCCAGTCGCATGCCTGCATGTGGGTAACCGTGCCAACTTCTTCGGAACCGCATACATTTGCATAGAATCACAGAGTGGCTACATAGCGTACTATGAATGCAGCCTATACAACATTAGTGAATGAACTGACCTTGCGCGTATCTAAGCCTCCCAATGGTGCTTCACCACGCGAAGCTGGTACTCGTACCCCGAGTTACGTGAAGCGCTCGGGTGATGATACTGCACCAGGAGGTCAGAGCGGGTGAGAGCGTGTTCACACCACCCGGTTTGCAGAACAGGCGACCCTCGGCTCCTGAGGTCACCAGCTGGGAACCGGGCCACCGCGCCGCCGCACGACCTGCAGCGCCGTGCAGCCTAACACCTATAGGGTCTAGGCGTTTGAATACAGCGGGGAGTCTGGCAAAGACCAGTGCAGTGGCGTAAATGGCTCGAGCCCATGCTGGTTATGGTAGCAAACTAATTACCTACCCTCCACAGTGGATCTACATAGATTAGCTGGAAAATAATTAGCTAAAAAATGTGCAGTGGTTTGTCTTAAATTCGGTGGGCGGCAATGCCATTTCCTGTCGAGTGTCGACTGCCCCGTCGCGGATGGTGCCTCCCGCACCTGTCCCGTTCGTCTTAAATACGGCCGTTGACGTGCTATGTCCGTCCGACCACGGCACGTGTCCTGTACCGTCTCCCGCCCTACCACGTCCGTACACCGTCCTATTGACGGCGAGCCGTACTCCGTCCTACGTAAATTATCAGACATCAGACCATTATCAGATCTTATATATTCGAGCAAATGATGACGACACAATCATAAAATAGCATGGTATTTTAGGATTCTGCGCTCGGTATCATTCGTTCGAATATATAACCTCCGTCCTATCCAAGCGAAGCGGCATCCCGTTCCGTCCACAGCGTCCTATACTGCATTCTGTCCTTTCCCGTCGACAGTCACTGTCATTCCGCGCGCTGTTCTGTTTACAGCCAACGGCGACAGGTGCCCGCACGGGGGAAGGGGGAGGGGAGGGGCACCTGTTGCATGCCGGGCCATTAAACATTGAGGGCCACCGAATCAGCGGCAGGGCACCTGTTGCAGGCCCAGCCGGTAGGGAAGGGGAGGGGCAGGAAATAGCAGTGGCCGGTGTGGGGAGGGGGGGGCGCAGGGCAGTAGGGGTCAGGGGGGCTAAAACGACTACAGAGCCAGAGACGAGGCCCACCTGACCCCGGGTTAGCGAGTCTTCAGCTACTCTGACTCATGAGTCGCGCCGCTGAGTCACCGACAATCCCAGCCAAAACGTAGTCAGTCAGCCAGCACTGCGCACATGCCCAAACCGAAGGAGCTTGGTGGATCGATGGGAGCGCGTATACCGGGTGGCCCAGAAAAAACGTTCCCAATTTTAAATCAATATTTCTCAGAAAGTGATAAAGATACAACATTGAAACTTCCAATAGTCAATGCGGCATATATTTTCAGCAAATGGTATGATTTTTATGCTATTCGGTCAATTACTTTTTAAACGGTTCGTGTTTCTAGCATGCCATGTAAAAATCATTTTTTTGCTCAGATGTTTACTAAAAATGTGAGTGAACGGGCCACTTCCATCTCGGCACCACGGCCTGCAGCCATGACTGCTACTGGCAACTAGCCTCATTGATGGTTCAGGCCTCAGGGTGACACATTCCCTCTAGCTTTTTTTCCTTATTCGGTCGATTTACTATTTGATCTTCTTGAAGGGAGGGCGATCAGCAGTAGCCCATGCACCGTGCCGCTCCTTCTCTTCGAACCAGGACTTGTGTTGAAACGAATGACATCCATTAACGCAATTTTGGCTTAGCATTTAAATATTTGGCACACAAGTGGGACAAAAATATTTAAAATAACAGCACACGTGCTGGTATCATTCACGTGTTGTATTTTTCTATTTCTTTTCTAGCATGGTACGTCTAAGCCAATCATTACTACCGTTCAACAACGGCAAAAAAAGCAAAAACGTCTTACTTAATTCAACATAAGATTGCTGGCTTGAAAATGATGGTACAGTGTTATAATTTGGCATACCAATGCGCAAAGAAGTGACGCAAACTTGATGAAAATTTTGGCTCGTTATTTGCACTCGAATTTGAGATATAGGCCTCCAAAGTTCGGAACGTTTTTTTTGGGCCACCCGGTATACAGCGCAGCTTGGCAGATCAAGGCGCGGAGAGTCGGTATCTCCGCTGTCTGAACAGCTGCTAGGGGAGGGGGCGGGGCGGGGAAACACGCAGGCGCGCCGCCCGCCTGCCGCCCGCCGCCGCGGCCAGCCTAGCCGTTCACAACACGGTGGCGCAAAGCACGCTCAATGCAGACCCTGTGAGGGCGGTGCCATTACTGCTACCAATAGCTGGCATCTCGCCGAAAGGTCGCCACGCCAAGGGACTGAAGACAGAATCCCACGCCCGCGCCAGGAGCGCGACTGTTGGTGTTTACGTCGCGTGTGCCGCGGCCTTCGCGAGGCAGCATGCTCAAGGTCAGGCGAGGCGGGGCGCCACGGGGAAGGCGTGAGCCTCCCTCGCAGTTGTTTAGGACAGTGCACAGCTTCCGTTTTTTAACCCCGAGCCCTGAGTCCTGACTAGAAAGTCAACCTCCCTTCTCTCATATGTCGACGTCCTGGACCAGATATACTCACCGTCGATGTTTCTGGAGCCGTCGCCGTCGGTCGAGAGGGGCCTCCGCGGTGGAGGGGAGGGGCGGGGGAGGTAAGACGTCAGCCGGCACCGCACCGCCGAGACCCGCACAGAGTGACCAAGAGAGTGACAACCGACCACCGACTGCAGTCACACCCTCCCACCTCGCGGGCCGCCGGTCGGGTCACCACTGCACCACTGCACGCTGCACCAGCGGGCAGCACCAGCCCAGCACCACCGCCCCACCCGGCCGCCGCGCCTCCTCAGAGCACGGCGTGCTCCGCGCCGCCGCCAGCCCCCGCGGAACTCGACTCACGTCACGTGATGCCGCAGCAGCCAATCAGCGGCCGGGAGACCGGTGACGACACCGTCAGCCGTCGGTGACGTCACCGGTCGAGGTGCGCCGGAAGGCGGTCGGGCGTGATTTCAGGTGGGCGGCCGGTGCAGGTATGTCGGTCAGCCGGTGTGCCTCACTGACGTGACCAGTGTCAGACCGCCCAAATATTCACAGCAGGTGTCTCGTTGGTTGGCCGGACGGCTGGTGTGACCACCGGGTGGTGTAAAGCTGTTCCATCCGTCCTTCTTCCTGCTGTCGGACATTGGTCATTGACCCACCTGCCCGCTGATACCCGGTTACCGTTTTGCCGCGTGTGTAGAGGCCTAAAGTATTGAACAGTGTCAGGCATTAGCCCGCGCCCTGCCCATGGTTCAGTCGTGAGACAGGAAGCGGAAGTAGGTGGGCCCGGGGCCGTGGGGCGCTTTTATGCCCCTCGGCCTCGGCTTATGAGCCACATAATATCCGTTCCGTCGTTTCCCTCCTCAAGAATCAAGCTAGTCAAATCCTTCTCCTCCACGCCTTAACCCCCTGTTCCGGGCTGGACGGGCAACTTTGTCTTTATCCTATGCGGGAAACTACCCCAGGAGCAGGCTCGTAGCCGCGGATGCGGTAGTGTCTGTGTTGACTCACATTCCAATTTTTACA